ACAGGACAGCCCCCACAACAAAGAATCATCCTGCCCAAATGTTAGTAGTGCCAAGGTTGTCCTGAGATGACGGGGCAGGATGGGAGCTGGGGAAATAGATGTTCAAATCTCTCTCTCTTCCCTTCCCCTCTCCCTCCCTCCCTCCAATATCCTGCTGGAAGCCAGAGGGCAAGTGGATTTGTCCACATGGTCCATAAAGCTTAGTATTCCGGGGCAGAAAGGAGGGTGGATAACAGTGAAGAGTGAATCAGGAGGGCAGAGAGAAGACAGTCATTATATAAACATTATTGCTGTCCATGTTATGCATTCTGCTATATGCCTCCTAGAGCCCCTGAGCAAGGGTTTCCTCCTTACATACCCAGAAGTAGGATTTTTCGTTTTACCAGTAATGCCAAACTGTTTTCCAAAGCACTTGGACCCACAGCAATGTGTAGGAGATCCACATCCTCTAACACTTGCATTGACAAGTTTTTCACTTTTGTCAGTTCCAGCAGGTGTAAAATGGTATCGTATGGTACCTAATGTGCATTTCCCTGATTGCTAATGAGGCTGAGCACTTTTTGGAATGCTTAGCGGTTACTGGGGTTTCCCATTTTGAGAAATGCCTATTTATCTTTTACTCATTTTTTGTCTTTTCCTTACTGTAGTTTTTAATCTATCCTGCATATGAATCCTTTGCTCTTTATATGCGCCGCGAATATCTTCTCTCACTTTGAGACTTGTCACTTTACTTTTTGTGTGTGTGTGAGGAAGATCAGCCCTGAGCTAGCATCCATGCCAATCAACCTCTTTTTGCTGAGGAAGACTGGCCCCGAGCTAACATCCGTGCCCATCTTCCTCCACTTTATGTGGGAGGCCGCCACAGCATGGCCTGACAAGCGGTGCGTCAGTGCGCGCCCGGGATCCGAACCCGGGCCACCAGCAGCAGAGCAGGCGCACTTAACTGCTACGCCACGGGGCCGGCCCCACCTCTTTACTTTCTTAACGGAGATTTGGGTGAACTGAAGTTCTTAATTGTAATATAGTCAAATTTACTAATTTTTTCTTTTAGGGTTAGCATTCTTTGAAGCTCAGCTAAAAGTTCTTCCTTATCCCCAAATCAGAAAATCTTCTTCTTCCAAACATTTAAAATATTTCACTTTCATATGTAAAATCCACGTGAAATTTATTTTTGTGTATGCATCCATATATAAATCTTTTTTTCCATATGGTTAACCAGTTGTTCCATAACAAATTATTCAACAGTTCCTCCTTTCCACACGATCTGTAATGCTACTTCTGGTGTATATAACAATTCCATAAATAGTCTGTTCAGTTGGTCAAATGAGTCTATCGCTGCACCAATATTACCCTGAGTTACAAGAGCATTAATGTTATTCTTGATCTCTGGTCCTCCTGCCTTACTGCTTTTTTCTTCAGGACTGTCTAGCCTATTCTAAGCCCTTTACAGATATTTCCTATTCACTCTAGATTCTTTTATACTTTTGAGGGAAAAAAAAGTGCACGAGTCACCTGTTATTCCCATTTCTATTGGAGTGTTCATTTACTTTTTGTCTTTCACAGTTCTAAGAGTAATTATCCTTAAAAATTTAATATGTATACTTAAACTCCAAAGTTCATCAATATCTTAAGGTTTCTATTTCCCATGTTATTGTCAAGTAGTACTTTAAATTCCACCTTGTTTTTAAAATCTCAAATGTACAGTATTTTTATAGACAATGCTTATTTTATAGTGTTTTAAATAAATAAAATAGTCCTGGCACAAAATTCAAAAGGAATAAAAGGGTATACAGTGAAAAGTCCCTTTATCACTTCTGTCTCCCAACACCGAGGTGTCCTGCCAATAGTTTATGTGTATCCTGGAGGTATTTTATGCATAAAGAAGCAAATGCATATTGTACTTTATCTATATTATACAAATAGTAGCAAATCATACATACTGGTCAACCTCTTGCTTTTTTCATTTATTATGCCTTGGAAGATATCAGTCCCTGTCAGTTAATAAGGCATTTATTTATTCTCTTTTTACATGAGTACGAGTTCAGTCCGTTTGCCAACATGTTTACTAATTCCTTTGTTCACCAGCTTATGGCATCTCACTCCTTCCTTCTGGATTCAATTGCTTTCTTTCCTGAAGACCAATCCTGAGTTCTTTCAGCAAAATCTGAAAATATGTTGTTTATCTTCTCTTTTGAATAGTAATTTACCTATTAACAGAGTTCAAAGCTAACATGAATTTTTTCCCCAGCACTTGAAAGTTATTTTATTGTCTTCTGATCTATATTGCTGCCATTGAAAAGCCTGCTGCCAGCGTAACTACACCTTTGTAGGTAATGTCTTCTCTCTTGTTGCTTTTAGATTTTTCTCGCTTTTTTGCGATTCTACTACATGCCTAGAAGCAGACTTGTTTTTATTTACTATCCTAGATATTTTTTATGCTTCTTCGAGGATCCATATCCTTTATAAATTCTGGAAAAACTCTCAAATCTCTTCCCTCTCCTATTCTTTATGTTGGATCTTCTTGTTCTAGTCTCCACGTCTCTTAGCTCTTCCCTATTTCCCACCTCTTCCTCTGTTATAATCTGGGTATTTTCCTGCTTTTTCTTCTAGTTCACCAATTCTCTTCAGATACACCCATCTCTTTAGATATGCCCAATCTGTGGTTTAATCTGTCCACTGAGTTTTTAATTTAATTATGTATTTTTTAAGCTCCAAGACAGCTTTTCAAATCAACTTTGTCTTTTTCATAGCGTCATCTTTTCTAATGGCTTTCATGCTTTCTTCACCCCTCCCCCCAATCATTTTAAACATTTTTATTCCATAGTTATTGTGTTATTTGAGTTTGTATGGGTGCGAATCTTCGAAGACTGTGTCTGCTGACTTGTGCTCACAATGGAGTGTTTTGGACTTTTGACCATGAGTCCACCTGAACAGGGCTTGTTTCTTCTGTACTGTGGGAATATGATGCAGCTTGGGTTATGGGTATGTCTTCCTTCCCCAACCACGTTGCCGTCATGTCTGTATGCCTTTATCAGTAATTTTCAAACTGAGATCCTCACACACCTAGCGATTTATACACTTGACATTTTGAGTTTCTTAAGATTTCATTTGAACAAAGGGCTCAGTGGCTAAGAAATCTTGCTGCTTTGAAATTCTATGTTCTCTGTTTCCACAAGTGAGAAAATTCAACTACTAGTCCTGGAGCATTCAGGGAAATAATAATAATATTAATTACAATAAGCAGTTATTGCCAAGTATGGCACTTAGTGGCACAGACAGAAAATCATTTAGTTCTCTCAACACCCCTATAAGTACTTTAAAGTTTATGAAGATTATGTAGTTTGTTCAATGTTGCACAGTTGGTGAAGGATAGGATAAATTCAAATCCAGACCCATTTGACCCTAGAGCCCAATCACTTAATCACTATTTATTTATTCAACAAAAAGTTACTGAGGAACTACTATGTGCCAGGATGTGCTAGGTGATGGGTCTAGTAGTAAACAAAACAGGTATGTTTTTTAATAGCTTTCAAATTATCTGTGAGGGATCAGTTTTTTTTCCCCTCTTAATTTCCAATCTGTTGCAGATGGATATTTTGGTAAAGAAATTAAAACCACTGCAGCAATGTCAAACTGCTATAAAAGCTTCCTCTCAATTTTTGTTTTCATCTTTCCATGGGCTGGTAACAGTTCGCAGACCAACCCCCTGCAGGCCACTTTTGTGTAGCACTGCTCTACAGTATATGGGCAGACCACCTGGGGGGCTCTGTGTATACCTGTGGGATGGGGATGACAACCGTGGGGGGATGACGAAGTGGAGAAGACACTTCTGATAACGGTGGCTTGTGTGTCAAGAACAAGAATCTTCTAAGAGGGTATAATTAAGTATTTTACGTCAGTATGCCTAAGCTAGTAAGCATGAAGAAGGGTAGAGATTCAGGAGATAGTGAAAAGACCACATTGCAGTCTAACTTGATAAAAATTGGACAGTTCTCCTGGGGAAGAAGGGTACTACTACTACTTGCTTCCTCTGTCATGCTAGTCCTCTAACAGGACAGGACAGTAGGTAAATGGCCAGGTAGGAATACTAATGACAAAAGCTGAGGGAAGTTTATTTGTACGTTTTCTTTCCTCATCACCCTGCAAACAACTGGATCACATCATACAGTGACATGCATGTTTAGGAAACAGCAAGCAAACACTTCAATATTATCCTAACTGAACCAGTACGATAAAGCTGCTGAAATATATTTCAAAGCCAAATGACTTATGGGTTATTTGCACCATTATTCTCTTACTACAAAAACTGATCACATACCTGGACACTTAGCATACTGAAATCTAAAATACATATGTTATTATACTTTCTTTTATGAGTAATAAATACTTTTTTTTTTGTGAGGAGATCAGCCCTGTGCTAACATCTGCCAATCCTCCTCTTTTTTTGCTGAGGAAAACTGGCCCTGGGCTAACATCTGTGCCCTTCTTCCTCCAATTTATATGGAATGCTGCCACAGCATGGCTTGCCAAGCAGTGCGTTGGTGCGCACCCGGGATACGAACCAGCGAACCCCGGGGTGCTGCAGCGGAGCACGCGCACTTAACCACTTATGCCACCGGGCCGGCCCCTAAATACCACTAACTTTAAGATTTGAAAACTTATAAAGAATTTTTTATATGACATAGAAAACAAAAATATATTCTTCTTTATAAAGTTAAGAAGACAGACTTTCCAGGAATGACCTTTAAGGTTTGCCAAAAGTTGTGCTGGATGGACTAAATGTCTAAAAAGCATCTTACAGATACTTTCATCTTAAAGCATCTGAGCAGGTATGGTCACAACATTCAGTATTTCAAACTTTAAACAGCTCTCTTTATCACTATTAGACTCAGAACTACACTGTTTTCCTGCAATTGTGATTTATTGTAATCTTTATCCATTTTCCCAAAGACCATTCAACACATTTATTCTATTCCAGTAATTACCATGCTACCCAGAAAAACAAGTGAACAGTTTATTAAGAATTAAATGAGAGTATGGAATGTGATACAGTACAAGTATGACACTCAAGATGAATATAATAGTACTACTCACACAAAAAGTTAAATCTCACTTCAAAAAAAAAAATCACAAGACAAAAGAAAAAGCAATTCCATCATTATAAAGTAAGGTATTTCATGCAAAAACTCCAAAACCCTCCCCAAGCCACCCAAGCCCCCGACAAACAAAAAGCTATCTGAAAATATTGCCATGCTAACATATTAACCACAACATAATCATTCATAGAAAAACAACACGCTAAGTAAGCAATGGATTAGATGAAACAACACAGGTTGCAATATTGTAAATTCATAGACCACGATGATTTTACATGATAAGAAATTCCAGATTCACTCATAGGGTGAGTAATATGGGCTAAATGTTGAGAGATAAGGTATGTAAATATAAATTCCATTAACTCATCTCATTATCTTCTAATTATAAAACTGGAAGCTTCCAGAACCTGAAAAATCTTACAAAATTTGGCATATTCCATTTGTGTTCCAAGAAATGACTTTACGATCATATTTGCAATTATTAGAGATCTGTATAAAAGCACTTCAAGGTCAGGAATTTACCTCTTAAATAATGATCACAATTTACATCATAGAAACAACTCCAGATAGGCATTTACTTTAACTCTTACTCAAGACAAGAAACATGGTTTTCTAGAACTTTATGTACAAATTACTGCAAAGGGCCAGTTAATTTAGAGACTAAATAAAATGTAAAACAAAGGTGAACTGGTACAGAAAGTGAAACGGAACATCCTTAATTACAAAGACTTAAGGGGGTAAAAGTCCTGCCTTGACTTCTGATGGAGCTGGCATCAACAAATAGACTGCAAGCTGTAACTCATGTCTTTGTACCAAGACGTTTTAGCACATTTCATGGAAAAGATAGTTTTATGTTAGAATATAGGAATGGCATTTTATGGGATAACATTCCCCTCCACAGCTGCCAAACTGAACACAAGCCTGGTCATTGTGTGATGCACAAACGAAGTGGATTTCCAATTGAGTGTAACGTCATGATGAGGGAACCCACGAGCAGGAAGTGCCCATCTCACTGCACCTGCCCATTCAGGAGGCCAGGAGAGAACCGGGACACCCACATTTCATGGTTCTGGGTTGAGTTTACCTATGGTGATTAGACTGGCTATAACAGCAAGGCTAAGGAAAAAGAACAGGAAAAAAATACTTAAGACAAAAAACTACCCACTCCCATTTGCTACTTTTTTTCCTTTAGGTTTAAGGTAATTAGAACAGATTGGAAAATTATTCAGGATTACCCTTCCCACTTCTGAAATTTTACTTCCTATTTACATTCCATGAACACTAATTTTTCAGTGGCAGGATTTAGCCTCTCTAAAAAAATAGAAGCACTCGTGTTAATTTTCACAGAATGACAGGAGAAAATTTTCCAATGAGGCACCCAGAGTCTGAGGCCAGTAAAGAAGCTTCTTTAGCAATCAGGACCATCAGAGGTAGAGCTCTTTGGAATGTGTCTTATACATACAAAGGTATCACAAATTAAATCCCCAGAGTATTCATGAAACAAGTTCTTAAATGGGAAAGATTTCTAACGAGAGATAAAACTTCCATCAGCAAATTAAATCTGATAAATAAATCTTTCCCAACTGACAAAGTCTCTGCTAACAACTCAACATAGCCTCTGGAATCAAATGTAAAGATCACTCAATCATGATGATGAAAGATGAAGTACAGATGAGCAGTACATACGAAAACAATTTGTAAACGGCTGCAGTTCTAAAACAGTAGATTTATATTACAAAGCAATGTAAATAAATATCGGGCTAGTACAAAAGCTCTTATTTACAGTTTTACAATTGAAACTGTATTCAGTGTAAATGCTGCGTTTTAAAGAACACAGTACTGTATTAGTAAAATGAAATCTGTCGAGGGGATTACAGTTTCTGTTAGAATCAATGCATAATGTATAAAAGATTCAAGTTAAATCTGTTTATAATTCAGTACAGATAAACCCAGTTTAACCTGGAATGGCATCTGTTAAAGTGCTGAAAAACAGGAAATATTTAGAAAACACTGTACATTATTAAAGCTTTATCAAGTCAGAATGTTAAACTTCTTTCACATTTTTTATCCTTTTGCCACAGGCTTGTGGACAGATGATTTTTCTCAGCAAAGGAGTAAAACTTAAGAGGCCACCAGCTGCTTAGATGATTTTAGGTTCAGTGGAGTTAAGTTTTCTAAAACAACTATTTATCCATCAACCATACCTTCAGGCCTCACAATCTGGTACGTAATTAAATATTCGGGATAAGCCTGGAAGAGACAGATTAATTCAAACATTGGTAAACAAATTTTTTTGAAATGAGATTTACCATAAGGATTCCTAATCTTTAGGGAAGAGATGCTAAATTAGTGCTGTGGACCAGAATCATCTAAGGGCATTTTCTCAGAACATCCTTACCTTGACTCCAATCCTTTAGGTTCTGAATCAGCAGGTCTAGGATCAGTACTAAGCATGTGTTTGTCTGTTTTTAATAACTGAGGTGATTCTGCTACATATCCCCAGTTCAGAACACTGCTCTAGAGATGCTTTTGACTGGATCTGTGTTACTAAGAGCAAGAGGGCTTTGCTACAGACAGGTTAACTATTAAATATAGGATTCTGATCATTTACATTTTATAGAAGCTAGAAAAAGATTCAGTATAATAGGCAAAATCTGAATAAAGTCTACAGATTAGATATAAATTATATCAATGGTATTTTCCTGATTTTAATAATTTTAAGAGAACGTCCTTGTTTTTAGGAAATACACATTGAAGTATTTAAGGGTAAAGGAACACACCTATAACTTATTCTCAAGCAGTTCGGGAAAAAAAAGCATGTATGCACACATACACATACGGAAGAGGGAATAATAAAGGAGAAAAAGAATGATAAAATGTGAACATTTGGAAAATCTGAGTAAAGGGTATAAGAGAATTCTCTTTACTATTTCTGCAACTTTTCTGTAACTCTGAAATTATTTCCAAATAAAAGTCAAAAAGAAATCCAGTTCTTAAGGCAACATGTCTTGTCAATTTAAGAGCTTAGTAAGAAGAAGTTAAAGTAATGGCTCTAAAGCATTTCCGAAGACGAACAAATAAAATGGAATTACCTGTTCTCCTCTGTAAATAACATATTCAGCTAATGCTAGGCCATTTACACTGGGTCGACCAGTGACTGAGTGATGTCCTGGAGGAGAATGTGCCATTTTCATTGCACTGAACTGCAGGAAAGACTTTCCCAAGGTTACCCGGCAAAACAGCAGCTGCCTATAATATGAAGAGAAAAAGATCTTGAAGACAAGGCAGCATACGACAATTTAATTTGTGTACACTGCATAAGCCTTTTAACGCATTTATACTTAAACACTTATGATTGTTTTCATCATTTCACCCTTAAAAGAACTTTGTAAGAATATCTTCTACTCTTACTAATAAAAGAATCTGTCACTTTAATTAATCCCTGTTTTAACTATAAAACCTAAAAATGTAATAACCTTATAGAGATGCAGACTCTGCCATCCGGTTTGTATCCCAGCAAAAGCACAAATCATAGGCCAAGTGGGAAGGAGGAGAAGGTTTAAGGGGCTTTCAGGAAGTGGTTTGCAAAGGTGGATAATTATCCAACTAAAGTCCAGTTGATTCCACCTTCAAAATATATTTGAAATCCATTCACTTCTCTTAATTCTGCCGCCACCATTAAGTCCAAATCACCAAAATTTTCACCTAGACTGTAACGATGGCCTCTCAACTAGTCTTCCTGTTTCTATTCTAATTCCTGTCCAAACTATTTTCCATCCAAGCAACCAGTGGTCTAGAAAAAAACAACAAAAAACATAAATCAGATCACATCACTTTCTGCTTAAAACCCTTTAGAGGGTACCCACTGTACTCAGAAGAAAATCTAAATTCCTTACAATGCTCCAATTTCTCTAATCTTACCTTGTGTTCATTATGCCCCAGGCACGTTAATCTTTTTTCTTCACACAGGCCAAACTTGCTTACTCCATGGCCATCATACTGTTTCTTCTACCATCTAGAATGATTATCTATTCTACCACTCTTCACCTGGCTAACACTTATTTTTCAGGTTTCAGCTGAAAGGTTACTTCCTCAAATAGGTCTTCTCTTACCAGAAGTTTAAGCAGATTACACTCCCATTCCCCTCGGGCATATGATTTGGCCTTCCTTAGTTCCAACGTGCCTTTTTAAAATTAATTCATTGTTTCTCTCCCTTATTTTCATTTTTTTAGAGGAGAACAGGAGGTTTTGGTGGATCAGTTGATGATTCTGTTCTCCAAAGAAGACAGGCTATATACTTTTTATTCTAAATACACCCTTTGGAAACGTTCTTGGCATTTCTAACAGATTTTCTATTATAGTCACAATCAGTTCCATGATAATCCAGAATACAGAAGTCTTAAGTTAATAAACTTATTTCCGGACAACTAAGCATTCTGTTCCAAAGACAGTTTAGAAGAGGTACAAGAACACTGCTTATTACTAATAATCAGAACTATTTAGCCTCCAGATAATATGACAAGTAAAAACAGTAGTGTTCATTTTACAGACTCTCAAGAAATTACAAGCCTCCTAAGCAGTCCAATTTATGATCTAAAATAGAAGTGGGTGGGAGATCATACCCAGGAGGGCCGACTTTAAACACCTACATGAGTCTAAATTTGGGGGTAAACAGCAAGAACAAAATAAAAACAGACCTCGTTTCTCTCCAGGACTACAGTTCTTCACCTTGGCAATCTTTCAAAATCAGCTCGGAACCTTTAAAAAATCCTAATGCCCAGACTGTATCCCAGACCAATTAAACGAGAATCGCTGAGGGTGGGACACAGGCATTGGTAATTTTTAAAGCTCCCAGGTGATTCCAATGGACTACCAAGGCTGAGTACTACTACTCTAGGGTTTTTTTGAGATCAGTGATTGGAAGCATCAGCATCATCTGGGAACTTGGTAGAAATTAAAGTTCTAGGGTCCCACTCCAGACCTACTAAATCAGCAGCTCAGCAATCTGCATTTTAACAAGGCTTCTAGGTGATTCTGGTGATCTAGGTGATTCTCTAGATCTTTATAAGAGTGCCCTAACTGTAGAATAAATCTCAATAATTAATATGACTTGATTTTTTGAATGGGAAAAGATAACATATTTACCTATGAGGATTTTATCACTTAGGGCCAAGTTATTTGAATGATTTTAACAACTGAGTTAGACCAGGGTAACTAAAAGTGGAAAAAAAGAGTGCAAAGTAGTTATTTGATAACAATGTGCTTTCTAAAGGAACTGATGTGTTTTATTATAACTTTCTGACTAGTAACATCACAAATTGAGGATTAAGATCATATCACAGTGGAAGAGAGACTCCCTCACCCATTGCCATGAAATGATTAGACCTGGCAAGTAATGTCATTTTAGCATTTGAATACTGTATTTTTAAGGAGTCCACAGTCCTATAAAATTCAAGGCTACAGTAAAATCTTTCATGCCCAATGATTATTTTCTACTCCATATTCTTTAAAGCACCAGGTGTTCTAATGGTTAAATGAGTTAAATAGGTCAAGTGTTTAGAACTGTGCTTGGCCCATACAGATCACTTAATAAATATCAGCTATTACTATAACTGGTGAGAGGGCCAAAAGCAACCTGGAACACACCTAGCTTGGATTCCTCAAGTTGTCCAAGATAGTGCCTTGGCCCCCAAATTTCTCAAATATGACACCAGTTCTTATCTGATTCTTATCAAAATAAAAAAGAACAAGTGATCTCTTACCTGTGGCAAACGTAACAAGATCTGTCTTTGTGAACTGGACACCCAGTACCTCCTCCAATTCCATATACATACTGATTACTTTTGGAAGAGTTTTCAGCAAAATAAATCCCAGCTCCAAACATGCCACCTATGTAGGCATGCCTTTCATCGAAGCCTTTATGGATAATTGCATTCACAAAGGGTGATCCTAAAATATACACAGATGGATAACAATTTAAAATTATCTTAGAAGAAAAAGAACAGAAACTAAAGACTCTTAGAAGTTAAATTCTTGGGCCAGCCCCGTGGCTTAGCGGTTAAGTGCGCACGCTCCACTGCTGGCGGCCCGGGTTCGGATCCCGGGCGCGCATCAACGCACCGCTTCTTGGGTCATGCTGAGGCCACGTCCCACATACAGCAACTAGAAGGATGTGCAACTGTGACGTACAACTATCTCCTGGGGCTTTGGGGAGAAAAAAAAAAAAAGAAGGAGGATTGGCAATAGATGTTAGCTCAGAACCGGTCTTCCTCAGCAAAAAGAGGATTAGCATGGATGTTAGCTCAGGGCTGATCTTCCTCACACACACACAA